CGGACTTCCAGGAGAGCCGTTCTCTCAGGAGTGGGGCCCACTGAGCCGGTATGCTTTGGTCGTGAGGTTGGGAGTCCACATTGTGGCACCCTTTCAGTGGGGTGCAAAGTTCCTGCTCGCTACACCATTCGCCTCGTTCTTCTCACCGCAAGTGTTTGATCTGCCATACCCCCTTCTCTAACCAGGATAGCCATCTTCGGTCCCTGTGGTGGAGGGACCACGGGTTGCCGTCCCTGTCTTTTATCCATGGATTGCAGAATAGAGGTTGTCTGAGTGCCTCCTCCTTGCTGGAGGGGCCACTGTGTTTCTCAGGTAGCTTGCGGTGCCATGCTGCCAGGGTGGGGGCCCAGTAGGATTTCGGTCTGGTGGTGTTAGGGGCTTGGTCTGGGGTGGTTGGCATGAGCCTCCTGGGGGGTTTGATTGACCATCCCTTGGCCATAATCGAGAACAGTCCCTCATGTTGTGGGGGGATTGGACCGGGGCCAGGGCGCAAATGCTGTCCAGGGCCAGTTTGGTCCATGGGATGGACTGTCGGGTCAGAGTTTTCACTATCCATTTCATTTGGAGGGCGATCGCTTCTTGTTTCAGGTCGATAATACCATGGTCTGCGTGTGATGTATTTCCAGGCTACCTTATTGATGCAGGTTGTTCGACTTGGGTTGCCTGTCCACAGGTAGCATCTGACTCTGTATTGGAGGATTTTGAGGTCCTCGTCCAGAGTGGCAGTTCTATTTATTTTCTTTTTGGAAATTTGTTCTTCTCTTCAAAAGACGATTTTTTTTTTTTTTTTTTTAAGTCTTCTACGTATCTGGGTTCTCTTTCTGACCTTATAGGCGGTGGGGAAATGTTGTCAAATTCACTTCAGATTCCTTCTCCCTCCCTCCCGCTCTTCCCCATTGTGCATGCTGATCTTCTCCTTCATCCAGCAGGATACGTCAGCAGACCATTAGGAGGCCACATCAGAAGTGACACGTCAGCAGGCCATGTAAGTCGCGCCTCATCAGCAACCTTGTGCCATGGAAGCAGGCCACATCAGCAGTGCAGTTTTTCTGGTGCCACGTCAGCCCCCCACCCCTGCACCCCATGTCAGTGATCCCACATTTACAGACCACCGGGATGGAGCGCAAGGACACAGAGTCTGTCAAGGCGCACGCCCCCGGCCTGAAGGCCTTATTGGAGGAAACTCAGCAACGGATGGACGAAGCCACAGCCGTGAGCTTGCAGGAGAATGCGGTCAAGGAGGCTCGCCGCAAAGCTGAACACAGCACAAGGTAGCCAAAGCAGCAGCACTCAAGGCTGCAGATGCCCAACAACAGCAGTACCATGATGATCTTCTCAACGATGAGGCGACCAACCGCTCACTGACCACCATACGGACGGAGACTGCTGGTAAAGAGGGCGCCACTCAAGCGGAGCAACACTTCAGTCATGTCAAACATGGTGGACCTTAGTGCTAACTAAGTCGTACAGCAGGTCAACATCTTGGACTTGCAACCGCGCAATGCAGCGCAGGCTGACTGCATCGACGTCCTTGGCGAGCGCATTGCGATATTGGAGCAGCGTCTGATGGCCAACACTGGGGGTCCATCCAAAATCCCGGACAGCGTCAACATCCTGGAGACCAAGTCAGATGACATGCCAGTCTTCAACGACTCTTCGAAGACCAACCCCGCATCAACGGCACGGGTGCTCTTACCACTGGTCAGGAGGCGTGTGTCAAGCTTGACTTGACAACATTATTCCCACCAATGGTGTGTAAGATCGTTGACCTCCATACAAAGATGAGCTGAGATGCGCTTACAGACGCATGGCACAAATGGTTCCAAGTGGAACTGTCACACCTCAAGGCCATGGAGAAATTAATGAACTTCCACCAACACTCCATGGCAAGTGCAGATTGGATTGCTGAGTATCAATGGTTGGCGTCCACACCAAGCTTGCCCATGATGTTCGAGGGCCTCAAGTATAACTTCATAAACAGGCCGTGCCCGATGCTGCAACATGCACTCACACAATTCACGAAGACGCTCAGCACATCTGGGCAATTGATTGACAAGGCTGTCACAGATCATCTTGGCCAACACGGTGCCTCGTAACGACCGCAAGCGACATCTGCGGGCCCAACAAGGGCCAGCACAAACAACCACATGTTGCGGTGGCCGCTGGTTCGCCGACCACCATTGATGACAAGGCTGCTATCCCGGACAAGGGAGACATGGTAGCAGCTGCCTGGGGAAGTGGTTCCGACCCAAAGAAAAGGGCAAAAGCAAGAAGAAAACGTTCACCTCATCATCTCCCGGGACTGGACAGCCCGCTCAAGAACCATGCGATATGGTATTTCTGAGTTCATCTACCAGATTCGGTCAAAGTGCCACGATTGGCCCTTTCTTCCCAATGTTGCTGGGGGAACCGTGCTCTCCCTCAAGTGGAGAAGGGGCCTGTCTGGTCGACCTGTGTGACCAATAGCGGCCCCAAAAATCGAGAAACATTTTTCTGGGGGCACCCTGGACCCAAGGAACAAATCCAGGGTGCCCCCCTTTTTTAAAAATTTTGGGGTTTTGGCCCCTTTCCAACGGGCCTCCTACAGTCTGGTGTCCAGACTCCCGACTCTAGACTGTCTGGATGCCTCTCCGGATGTCTGCATATGGTAGCTGTGGTCGTTATCCTTGCAATGAAATACTTGGAGATAGATTGGTTCAATCATATTCTGTCATTCTGGCGCTGATTTGTAGGCCCGAAGCTCCCAGTGTCTCCATAGCTCAAGCTCTGCCTTTTTTTCGTTGCTTTCCGTCTCTAGGGCCTTTTTTCGTTGAGTTTGCCATTTTTCTTGAAAGTTGTTTAGCAGTTTGGGAGAGGGACCGGTAACTGCTTTGAAACCATTCCCGTCTATTGTTTCCAGGCTACCAACAATACTGAATACCTTCTTGAAATATGGAAGTGAGAAGAAGAGTTGTATTCAATTTTAAAAAATGTGTGTGTCCTCCTTTATTTGTTGGACAAAACTTATGATCATCTCGACAGGCTTGTGGTCAAGACCTGCATACGGAGCCAGGGATAGGGTATTGGCTTCCTTGACTGAGCCCGTTGCAGTGTTTCGTATGGTTTCATTTTGGGAATCCGTTTATATCTTTATATCCAGTTGCTCCCTAAGGAAAGTAAATGGTGGAGGCTTTTTGTAGTTTAATATTTGTGGATTGCTGATGGACACAGCCTGATCACATTTTGTTGTCATTTGATGTGATTTCCCTGGCCCATTGAGACTCAGCTCTAGGCTCTAGCTAGTGTCCCTCTAATGCGCACCCACTGCGTCTCAGTCTCAACACCTGTAGGGCTAGAGATGGTGTTTTTGGTAGTTGGCAAATTTCCAATGCCAGGATTTGCACCCAGGCCTGAGTCTTAGCTGGCCAATGCACGTTTGCTTGAGCCTCGGCGATTTGGCCAGTTTTCTTAGCGGGCAGCCCCATACGTGTTGAAATGCAGTCTGATGGAAGTACAGAGTGAGTAGCAGGTTGCTATTGTTTGATCATTTTTCGTTGGATACTTTGGAAGTTGAGCAACAGTGTAAGCATTGTTGCTTGTCACAAACTGCAGGTGAGTTACGTTGTTGTTATTTCTAGGATACCAGGGTATTTTTGCAGCCTGCAGCTGATGCCAACGGCCGACTGTTTTGCAGCCTACCGGTGGGGCTGAGCGGTAGGCGGTCTGTTGACTGGTCACAAGAGGGCCATCCACTGATTTTTGTTTTAGTCTGACTTTGGGGCTGTACTGCGCTTTCTGAGTACAGCCCAAATCCGCTGAGAAAAGAGGGGTATGGGGGTTTCGGGCAAGGTTATGGGGTGTTTGGGGGGTTTATGGGGCTTTTGTTGGTGGGGGGGGAGTATGTGGGTGTTTAGGGGGTTATGTGAGGGGAATATTTTGGGCGGAAGGGGGAGAAAGAGGTGTATGGGGTTGTTGGGGGAGGCTATGAGGCTCTTAGGGGGTGGGTTGTGGTGTGGAGTATGGAGGTGTAAGGGGTTATGTGGGGGATACCGAGGG